ACTGCTAATAGGTGATACGAACTCTTCATTAAACCAATTGAAATGGTTAAAATCTTGCCGGAAGGTCGTCGGGGGTGAGCTTGAACCGATGGTCTTGATAACAATAAACCCAGAATCATGCACATTAGGTGCTTAGCAAAATGCCGAAGAGAAGATAGGCCCAAACGGCGCCGTTTTGGAGTCGCGCTCACCGGGGTGATGGCCGTCACCTGCGCCAGCTGGTCCGATCCAAACTGGGCCGGTCCGGTTCAATCCCTCGGCGGGAAAACTTTAAAAAAATATTAAAAAATTAGAAAATAGAGAAAATCAAATAAAAATTCTAGAAAATCATAAAAGAAAAATAGAAAATTCAGAAATTCAGAAAAAAAAAATAAGAAAAATTCAATAAAAAATTTTCAGAAAATTCAAAAAAAAAATTAGAAATTCAGAAAACTTAATAAAACTTGGAAAATTTCTAAAAAATCATAAAAATTTAAAAATTTCCAGAAAATTTACAAAAACGAGAAAAATTCAGGAAAATACAAAAAATTGGAAAATCTAAAAATCAATAAAAATCTTTCAAATTTTCAAATTTTCAACAAAAAATCAAAAAAAATCAAAAATTTCAAAATTTCACAAAATGACTCAAAAACATTGCAGCCAATCTTTGCAAGTGAAATTCAAATTTTTAGAGGTGCTTAACTGGCATTTTTAGAAAATCCTTAGTTTAGGGGTTTTACCCCTAAAAAAACCCTAAACCCCAAAATGACACATATCATCGAATGAATAAGCATTGAGGGCTTTACTAGGGTTTGGATGTTTTGAATTGATTTTCATTTTAGAGACCCAAATTAGGATTGTTTTGTTTGATTCCAATTGATTGTGTTGCTTATATTGATTGATTGAATTCCCGCGATTAGGATGGTTAGAATTAGTGGATAGACCTCGGAAACTCATGTGGCGCGTTAAACACATCATATCGTTTTAGATACCGAAAGGGCATTAGGGATCTCGATTTGGGATCATTAGCGTAACCAAGTCCCCCTATTCAGAATCTCTGATTTGCAAAATCGTGGTATTTCTCCCGTACCCCGATTAGGTTTCTAGTCAACCTACCAATAATGACTAGTGGCGACTCCAAATCAAAAACATAGATTAAATAGAAAGATAAAAATCATAACCCGCTGTCACGTGAGGTATGGTCTGGGAGAGGCCCCCGTTTATCTAGTGATGGGATGTCTGTGAGACGTTTGAGCGAAATATCTGTATCGGACCCTAGTAGCTCATTCGGGGACAGTTTCCCATTCGTGACGAATGGAAGTACCTCCTTAGCGTGCCCAAAAGGCACAGTGCGACACTTGGCACCTCTTTTGCTACCAAATGCCTTTCTAGAAGCGTTGGTAATAGCTTTGACAGGAGTCGTGGCAACGGTGTGAATTGCCTTACGGGCTTTTTCTTTGGCTTAGACTACCTTGTGTTCTTCCAAGCCATGTTGGGTTGCTTTGGAAATGGTGTCTGATGAATGTTCGGACTAGAAACCATGGCTACCTCACAAATAGGCTCTTTGTCCTTCCTCACAGGATAAGACCTTCGTGTTGTTGTTTCTTGAGCTTTCTTTTCTTTTAAACTCCATTCAATCCTTTCACCAACTTTTACCAGCATAGTAAATGTTTGACAACCTGACACATGTAACTTATTGTAGTACTCATATGACAATGATTTTAGAAAGAGTTCTATTAGCTCATCTTCATTTATGGCGGATTTTACTTGCAAAGCAACAGCCTTCCATCTCTGGGCATAAGCTCGAAACCCTTCATTCTTTCGTTTCTCCGTTCTGACAAAATCCTCCCTAGTTGGGAGCACTTCAACATTAAATTTGTATTGACGGAGAAATTCTCCCACCAAATGATCCCATTCTGTGAAATATTCTATGTCAAGAGCGGTGTACCATGCCAAGGCTGCTCCTCTCAAACTGTCTTGAAACGTGCTAATGAGAAGAGGCGTGTTGTCTGAATACCTCGCCATCTTACGGAGATAATACTTCAAATGGCTTTTGGGACAACCAGTTTCGTCATATTTGCTTACAAACTCTGGCTCTTTATAGTTCTCAGGGACGACTACCATTGCATAAGGAGAGAATTTGTCAAACCTTTGTAGTTCATATCCTTGACTTGCCAGACTCTCTTCTATTTTGGCCAGTCTCTTGGCCTCTTCTTCATCCTTTGCTTTAGGTGGAATCTTCTTTGATACATCATCTTCTTCTAAATTCACCACTTTGGGTGTTGTCTTCGGCATATTTTTTTGAATAGGCTCCTTGCCTTGATTCTGATTAGAATTCTCTCCGACATTTGGAGCATTAGCATTAGGAGTCGCAGGATAAGATCCTCTTGCGGCAATGATGAAAGCCTTCATCTTCGCCATCATGGCAGCCATTTGGGTCATTTGATTCTCAACTTCAGCCAATTGATTACGGGTCTCCTCTTCTGCCATTTTATCTTACAAACGAGTTCGGGATCTTTTTCTTTCCATTGTTAGAAAACCTTCTTTATAAAAAGACCAAATGTCAGCATAGTGAAACAATCATGAAATCCTATATTTTTTCGATTGTATGGTTTCTTGTGATTAACAAGGATAAGAATTTTTATACAAGCCTTAGCCTTATATTAAATTCCTTATCAATGTCTTTTTCAAGCAATCATACAATTCAAAGAATCGTAATCCATGGTGATTTTCTTTTCAAAATGTGATTAAAATCTCATCAAACTCTTATTCATCAAGCAATTGTTTCAATTTTGAAAATTTGCATTACAATGCTTCAAATCAAAATGGGGCAACCAGCTTAAGCAAGTCTAGGCTTCTTCCTAACTAAGGTAGCTTCAACCTTTTCATATTCATCACATTCTTTAACCCGTGCTTCCCATTCTTCTACGTCAATCGTAACTTCTTCGGGAATATATGGCTCCACACCAGGTGTATTTGGCACAATGTACTAGAGAACATATGGCTCATCAAGGTTAGTAGAAACGCTCAATGGCACATACGGTTCAATGTCAATTGGACGCTTAGCCTTTAACCACTTAATGTACTCATTCGACGCCAAGTAGAGCTTCATCTCTCCTTTCAAGCATTCGGGCCATTCCACCATTTGCTTAGTTGATCTCTTCCGAGAATCAACAATTTTGTCAACTCTTTTTGCATCTCTCTACTTTCTTCTTTCGGTAGGGGTCCTTGTGGTATTGCGAATGTGAACTCGTCGGGATGCCAACTAGGTGATATGTGTTGGATCATTCCAAATTGTCGCACAACCCTTAATGGGCAATAGGCGGTTTCACCATTCAAACCAAGCAATGGCACCAAATTGCCTTCTTGACAAGTAATCCGAGCTTTGACTATCTTTGGCCACTTGATCCTCTATTGTAATTGATCGGGAGTCAATGCCCTGATGAAGTTAGCCCATTCATGGAAAGAGTATTTTGATAGTTTTTCTTGGATTTTAAGGTACCTCTCAATAGGATTGACGGCTGAACAAATTTCTTGGCTGCGCATATGACGTTCCCAAGGTTGAATATGTGAAATGAACCACCTAGAAAGCAATCCGGCTGAAGCTTGGAGTACACCTTTCTCTTGGCTTTGGTACTTGTTCAAAGATATGATAGTTTCCGCTAAAAGCATATTGAAGAAGTCTCATTTTAAGCAAACTTGCCTAGCAATTATTGCAAATAAAGGATTTAACCTAGTTCTTAATGTAGGGAATAAGACAAACCTGAAGAAAGCAAGAATGAAAACTTTCGCAGAAATATTCCTGGTTTTCTTTGGCAGTTTGGAGTACTTCGCCATTAGGAAGGATAAAGTTAATCTTCCAGTATTCAACTTGATCAACTTTTCCACTTGAGAAATCTTCAAGTTGAGGAATTCAGCTATAATACTTGCAAGCTTCAATCCAATCGAGGGTTCTATGATTATTGGCTTGAATAAATCCCAATGGTAGCTTTATACTCCTCTAACGTTGGCACCATTTCGTGTTCTCCAAGTTGAAATGCCGTAGTGGTAACCTCCCAAAAATGAGCTAATGCATGAATTAGACTCACTTGAAGTTTAAGGTTGATAAGCTCAAATAGGTACCCAAGTCTCTCCTTGACATAAACCTGGTTGTCTTTGGTCATACTTCCCAACCATGTCAAAAGCTCCTTTCGCGGGACTGGAATGACTTGTATATCTAATTTCCCCATGCTTGATCTAAAGCATTCAAAAGAAAGTTTTTATCAATCACCATGGATTACCAATTAATTTTAATGCCTCCATTTCAATCATATATCCTTTTAGGGTAAAGTGGAGGTAAAGTACATTTGCATACTTAGAAAGTGATACAAATGTCATCTTTAATCCATTTAAGCCTCAAAAGAGCATATACTTGAAAATGGGGATGAAATCAATGTTTGATGCAAATGCCCTTTTGTCATGCTTTATTTAGACCATAAAAGCCTAGCCTATGGTTTACAACTTTGAATACATCAAAATGAACATTTGACTCATTTGTACATGTCACATTTTAAGCACAAGACCACTTGAATTACATCGAAAATCCACCATGGACCTACACATTCCATCTAAAAATGAAAGAAAATGGTCGAATGGAACATGTCACCCTAATCATTCATTCTAGTATAAAACAATCATAAATTTTTGTTTATTTGCATAATGTGACCTGTATTTTACAATGAAGCAATAATAGATGGGAAGTGGGTCCGAGCAATGAATGAAGAAATCCACTCCATTGAAAAGAATGACACATTGAAGCTTATTTCTTGACCACCTGGTAAGAAGCCCATAGGTGTTGAGTGGGTGTACTAGACAAAGTACAAACCCAACGGTCAAGTGGACAGTTATGCCACCAGACAGTCGTAAAAGGTACAAGCAAAAGCCATGTATTGATTATTTTGAAGTATTAGCACTAATGCTCGAATGGATACCATTTAGATTATTCAGAACTCGCAACATAGAATCGTTGGAAGATCCATCAAATGAATGTGAAATATTCATTTCTCAATGGTTTCCTTGAAGAGGAATTCTATGTGAAGCAACCACAAGGTTATGAGAAGAAAGAGCATGAAAATCAAATTTACAAACTGAATAAGGCATTGTATGGGCTAAAAGAGGCACTTCGAGCTTGGTACACAAAAATCGACACAAACCTATTACAGCATGATTTTCAAAAGCACCCATATGAGCGTACATCGTATATCAAGTCAAACATTAACAGTGATATAATAATTATTTGCCTTTTTATTGACAAGAAGTTGTGAAAAGATATTTGTTGAATTCAGGGAGGCTATGACCAACAAGTTTTAGATGACAGATTTGGAATTGATGTCCAATTTATATGCCTTGAAGTAAAGTAGACAAAGGATGATATATCTATTTCATGGCAAAAATATGCTATTGATATTTTGAAACAATTGAAGATGAAATTGCTCAGATAATTCTAACTCATTTAGCATAACGATTGGAATAGAAGAAAGAATGAATCGATGAACTAGTAAATCCCACTTATTTTAAAAACATTGTTGGCAATTCAATAAACTTGACTTCTACTAGGCCATATATTACTTGTGGCATGGGGATTATTAGCTAGTAAATGGAGAAACCATACCAATCACATTTATAGGCAGTTAAAAGAATCTTACTGTCAGTGGAACTCGTGATCATGGAATTATATTCTTACACTGACAATTTCACTTAGTGGGGTACACAAACAGTGATTAGGCAAGTGATACCAAGACTTGGAAGAGTAGTAATTTCTTGGTCCTCCAAAAACCAAGTTGTTGCACTCTTGATAGCTAAAGCAAGATACATAGCGGTTGCTTCTGCGGCATGTCAACTGGCATGTCAAGTAATGTGGATTCCTAGGATGCTTAGTGAATTGATGCACAAACATAGAAGTCTTATGATAATAAGTCATCTATTGTAATAACCAAAATTCTTGTTTTTCATGGTAAGAGCAAACACATCGACATCAAGTATCATGAACTGGTCAAAAATGGCGAGATTAAGCTTAATTTTTGCAGATCAAATTACAAATATTTTGATGAAACCATTAAAGGAAATCTGTTCGAAAAATTAAAAACTACGGTTGGTGTTGTTGGATCCCAAAATCAATTTAATGGAGGCTATCAAAAGCATAATAAAATTGATTGTTGTTGTTGAAGCTTTGAACACATTGGCTGCTAATTTCTAGATGGGCGGCTAGTATATTTCCGAGAAGAGTTGCGGAAGACTTTTAGATGGGCTGTTGCTATTTTTGTTAACATTTGTGCTCAGGACAAAAATCATGTGTGGGCATTCAATTTCTATATAAAGCTCTGAAGTTGAGAGTCGTATGGGTGAAGCCTAAGAAAAAGCATTTCAATAAGAAGTTATCTCTCCATTGTGTGTATCTATACTCTTACTCCAAATTTTCTAAAGTTTATATTGCTTTTGGTTCCAACAAGATCTTCCTTGAACAAAATCAAACATTTGCCCTGTGTCTATGTCCATGGTCATGTATTTGCATGACATGTTAAATTGCACAGGTTTGCATCATTGCTTCACCTAAAAAGTATTCTCGATGAAGAAAATATATGTTCTGTATTGGTCTTCTGTAAAGTGTGCGGCTATTTCCTTATATGTTTTCTTGGACAGCATACTGGTCGTCATCTGATGTTGCTAATGATCTTTCTTGTTACTTTACAGGTGGTTTGGAGTACAGCTGAATCCTGAATTTATTATGATAGACCTCAAGTATACGAACTTTTCCGGTCATATTCATCGTTTTACTGATTTTTAGAATACTTCTATATGCCCATGCACACCATTTCGTGAGTGGACTAACTTATTAGTACATCATTACTGTTTTGCAGACCACGTGTTACCTTTCATAAGTCTGTGAGGTTCAGCATTGAGGTTTAGCATTGCCGTGTGCCTGTTTGGTCGAAATTTTTCCGGCGACGAAGCATATTTTTCCAAAAGTCATTTTTTGCGATTTTTAATTAAGAGAGACAAGTACTTTGGTGACTCTGAATAAGGAATATCGCAGATAAATAAGGAAACTGACAATTTTACTTCAAACTGAAATATACAAACACAAATCGTATCGAAATTTAATTGATGATAGACTTGGGAAGTACAGCCACTATAACGGAGCTGAACTTAAATAAACCATACCATAATTTAATAGACGACAAAGGTTAGATGCTATACCAGAATTTAATCAACCACGCAAAATTCAAGATAGAGATACATGCCAGAATTTTGAAAACTACAGCTAAGAAACATGTCGAAATTTAATCGACGACACTTAATCTGGAAACTAAAAATACGATACACGAAAGTAAAAATAATTAAAAGATTGCCTTTTTATTTGATTTGTGCTAGGGTTAGTAGGCAATTGGTGGTATTTATAGTAGTAAGACCATCACCATCTCTGAGCAGTTCTATAGTGGTTGTAGCCATGTTCCTCCATCTCCAAAAGTTTTGTATCCATATTGTCATGATGTCTCAAGCAGTTGTTCCTTTAAAATTGAATGCCAGTTGCTCACTGACCTCCACTGCTTGATTCTCCAATGATTTCAAATCTGTAACTACTTTGCGATGCCCTTCACGCATCTCTCTCTCTCTCTCTCTCTCTCTCTCTCTCTCTCTCTCTCTCTCTCTCTCTCTCTCTCTCTCTCTCTCTCTCTCCGCTTTAATTGGTAATATATTGTCCTCCTTATGCTTGTCAGCTAGCGTTAACCGTACGCCGTTGTATATCGACAACCAATCGGCAGTGGTCATTAATGGACACTAGTATTGACACCGATCCTTCCAATTGTCGATAGTGAGTCACTCCATCTCTGCAAGTTTTGTATCCATATCGTCATGCTGCCATGATCTCGCTTTCAAGCGGTTGTTCCTTTAAAATCTCGCTTTCAAGCGGTTGTTCCTTTAAAATCGCATGCTAGTCGCTCCATGACCTCCACAGCTTGATTCTCCAATGATTTCAAATTCGTGACTGCTTTTTGGTGCCTTTCATGCATCCAACTCTCTCTCTCTCTCTCTCTCTCTCTCTCTCTCTCTCTCTCTCTCTCTCTCTCTCTCTCTCTCTCTCTCTCTCTCTCTCTCTCTCTCTCTCTCTCTCTCTCTCTCTCTCTCTCTATGCTTTAATTGGTAATCTATTGTCCTCCTTATTTTTGTCGGCTACCGTTAACCGTACGCCGTCATATATCGACAACCAATCAACAGTGGTCATTGATGTACACTAGTATTGACATCAATCCTTGCAATTGTTGATGATGGGTCATGTGCTAAATGATGTTCACGCTCTAGTCACATGCTTATCCATATCGATGACTTGCTCATTTTTTGGTGCAAATAGTGTCTCGCACTCGACCATCCTTAGGCTGTTAATTCCACGAGTTTATTCTTTTTAATAACACGATATGGCATGGGGGTTTGTGTGGATCTTACTTTGAAATAAATCTCACTTTAACATGTGTTTCCTCAATAAGTGTCAATAAAAAACCTTTCAAAGTACGGATCAATGTAAAAATCGACGAAGGATGGGAAGAGTCATTTGATGATTCTTGGATAGAAAATGCAATTGACTAGAAAATTAAATGTACGGAAACCCGAAGACAATTGTGTTTAGCCATGTACAATGGAAAGATAAACTGCAAGTATAGTTGAACAATTGGTATTCATCAATTGATTGGCGATTCTTTGCATGGGTTACAATTCCAATACTTATAGCTACTATTGACAATTAACAACAAGGAAACAAGTACATCCCAAGTGACTCCTAAAATTCAGTAACTTGTATTTACAAACGATTGATCGACACCACTACTTCAATGGTTATTACCTCTCCACTCTTCACGTCCAGCATCACTAATTACTCTCAAAGCTCCTTGCTCCACAACTCGACGGTTACAATCACCCACTTTTCTGGGCTTCTATCATTAGTAAACTACGAGATGTAAGGCATCCGTTACTTGATCATCATGTTGGTTTCACTTCCTTATAGATATATCAATGCACTCATGAAAATCAAGTCCAAGATTATCGGCTCCATCACTTAGATAACTGCTTTGCATCCTATTCATCATGAGTCGTGTTAGTCGAAGCCTTTTTGTTGATGAAACCAAACTTTATTTGCCGACACCTATGCTCTGGGACTTAGTTATTTCCTGTCATATCTTTAGTCGGCTATACCACTCGCTTTTGTCGACTAACTATATTTACCGATTGAGAGCCTTCAACACTTGGCAAATTTTTGCCTCCATTGCATCTCGATCGGTCTTTCTTAGCCGAGTTGACAATCACAAACTTGGCAATTTTTTATGTCACCAACATGATATATACGGTTGTTGAAATTTAATCTCACTTTAACGTGATCTGTACGCTGTTGATCTTTCCAACACTACTACCATTTTAGCTTAAACTTATAAAATTTTTCTGTAGGTTTTTCTTTGTACGAGCAGGTTTAATGGGCTGGCTTCTTCTCAACTTGTCGGTTCTAGCTAGAAGTGTCCAAGATGGCAACTTGAGCCTATCAATGATCCTTTATCAACTATTCTGCGCGGTAATTTATGATAATCTCCTTAGCAGTTTTTAAAAAACTCAGTTTTACGAATTCCTTCGTCTAATAATTCTTTTTTCTCTTTTATCCAGTTATATATCCTGGACTACTTTGTTTACGAGGAGTATATGACTTCCACGTAAGTGCATAACTTGTCTGTCTCTGAAGTGCTTAATCTTGCACACCCAAGTTTTCTCCGAGTCGTTAAACCTGGTTCTTTCTTTTTTTAAGTAACTAATTTGCTGCTAAAATCTAGGAGCTTTTATCTTCACTTACGACTCTACTCGACTGTACTCTGCGCTAATAATGCGTCTCGGCAGATGACTTAGGAAACGCCGCCGTGCTCACGTATGAGCTGGCCGGCCGTATGCACTGCTGTTGTTTAGCGAACAGTTCTGCTGCTCAAATCTCTTCATTGGGGCCATGGTGTTCTTTCAACCTTTAGTTTGCTGGGCTTGGGCCATGAAACCTGTTAACTTCGAACTTTCGTCCAAATTTTAGAGGTGACATCTAAATGGACCGACGGGAAAGTTCGACCATAGTTTGCATTGTCCGACATTGCTAGCGTATATTGTAAAGAGATAATGTATGGATTTGATTATAATGCTTTAAAAGGGATAAAAACATTAACGGAGCAATGTGGACGTTGGAAAGATTTAGGTTCCTTATATAGTGACACATAATGCTGCATTGATGTTGGTAATCATGCCCTCCCGCCTGTCCCTCTCTCCCAAAACCTCTAAACGCTGGCCCAAAAAGAGAAAGGATGTTGCTCCGTGAAAATATCGGGCAAAGGACACCACAATTGTCACAATTCTCATGCAGCGCTCAGTTTAATACCAATACCTTTTATAAACATTCACACTAGTTACGTCGTCAATTACTCTAATCGAAAATCCGACATGGCATTAAAACCTACAGCACTTATGGGGAACGGTTTTTTAAAACTTATGGCACTCAAATGATTAATTAAGAAGTTATGGCACTTAAATAAGCGATTAAAAAATCATGCAACCAAAATGAGCGTAGTATGAAAGTTATGCAATTGTGAAGTCCTTCCCCTGAAAAATATTCATATGCGAAGGAAACACTCTACCGCTGATTTTGCTAGCGATACAAGAGTCCTTCAGCTTTGAAACAAAAGTTTGGTTATCATATCTGTCTCTTTTTTTTTTTTAGCTGTCAACCGTCACATTATCACAAAATTCATGAACCTACTTTTTCTCTACTTTCCACTTGCAGCCTACCGCACAGGGAGGGGAGAGCACCTTGTTTGTGTTTTTTCCGTGGGCGGGTGGCTAATGAGCTTTCATTCTTAATCCGATACTTAGATTGACCATTAATGCGCAATGATTATCTAGCATCATAGGCTAGCCAATTAAGTTTATGATAAGCTCCATTCATGCCTAGCAAATATACCTATTCTAAGGTTTCATTTATTTCATGGAATATGTGACATTTTCTTAAAAATGTTTTTCAAGAAGTCATTTTCCAAAAAAATGACAATATTTTCCGGTATTTTGCTTAAACCTGAAGATTAATTAGAAAATATTTGTCATCGTTTGGTATGGAACATTTGATTTGATTTTCCTAAATAAACATACGCTATTTGGGTGCTAGTAACTTGCATATATGCAGCTAATGAACCGGATACAGGCACGTGAGTCTTAGGTTCGGTCTCAATAGCCCCTGACCCAGGTGCCGGGGATCGAGGCACAGGCACCTGTGTCTCAGGCATGGCCTCGATGTACCTTAGTGCGGGCACCGAGATCCGAGCCCGGCCTCAATGGACCCAGGCATGGCCTTTGTGGACCCAGGCCCGGGTGTTACCTCAAGTACTGGGATCCCGTGTTCGACCTTTGTGAACCCAGCCCGAGTGCCAGGCATCGGGCACGGGCACCGAAGTTTCGAGCCCGGCCTCAATGGACCCGAAAGTGGGCGCCGGGAATCTAGGCACAAGCACCAGGGTCCCAGCCCTGGCCTCGATGAACCCAGTCCCAAGCGTTAAAGACCTGATCCTAAACGCCGAGAACCAGCGTTGGAATTTCGATTCCCAAACGTGGAGTTGTGGGTCTAAAAGCATTGATACATGGTCATATTTTGGAAAATAATTTTTGATTTTTTAAAGAGGAAATTATTTTCCTAAATTTAAGCTTATGTTTCCTTTGACTAGGAAAACATTTTCCATTGACTCATTTTCCTAAGCGAACCAAACGCCTCAAAATGAGGAAAATATTTTTCACGAAACAAACAAAACCTAAATCTCTAGATGTTGTGATTAGTATCACTTGTTCTTTTGGTGCTCCGTGAATTATTGACAGTTCATGCAACATATCTCTGTTTTATAATAGTTCACTTCTAGTTCTCTTAGAAGGATTACAAAAGTTACCTTAGCATACAAATATTGATTGCCTTTGAAAGATAAATGTCCACATCTCACTATGTTAATTGTTGTGCAGCCTCAATAGAAGATTGCATCTATAAGGGTCATTTGGAACCACATATTACATTAACATGCAGTTCTGAAGATTATTTGAGGGATTGTTTTATGCCTGTATGAGTAATTGTCATCTCTGATACAGGGTTCGTGGCTTTCGAGGAATAACATAGAGCTAACAACAACTGCTGCCATTGCTAATTGTTTCGTATGTCTATTTGGGTAGGCTTCATTGAAATTATAGCCTTTTGCCAATGAACTTATTACTAGTTCGTGCCACCTTTACTAAGGACTCATTTCCTTTGCCTAAAAAACTACGTAGATATACGGTGTTCCGAGAAGCTAACAAGCAAAAGCATGTGTTCAAAAGGAATCCCAAAGCGCGGTAAATGAAAGGAGTCTTACGTTCCTCTGATTCAGGTCCCCAAAAAAATTCACTTTGCTTTCCCCGCTACTCTTGCAAATTTCAACTTCGTGTATCCTTTGATTGAGGGGGAATTGCGAGGCACTGCAACTACCTTGGCGACTTGCTGCTGGCACTGTCCTTCAGTTTGCCATGTGGACTCAGGTGAATTTGACTTCACCCGACTCTATTATGACTTGCTATGCATGCCATGATTAAGTAGGTCGCAGTTTTTAACAGCTGCTTCGTTTTCGCAGTTCACCAGTTCCTCATTTCTACCCAACAATCTATTTCCTGAATCTGCAGATATGGAGAGAGAGAAGAGACGAAGCTCGTTGTGCAGAAAAGTACAGAGAAATTTGGGCAGGATACCGTGGACTAGTTCCTTGGAGGATATGCCCCTACATTTATTAGATGTACAGTAGTTCATCTAGTAATGATAGATCGTGAACCTTTCACAAGAAAAATCCCTGAGTGGGAGATTTAGTGGTCATTCGTTCTCTATACTTGTTTCCTTCATCTTACGAGTTGTAATTTCTTGGTAGACTGGTGTTACATTTTCTTTGGTTCTTTTTTTATTTTACAAAGAGAAACTTTGGTAAACCCTGGTAGACTGGTGTTCTTTTTCATGATGAACTTTCTGGGGATCGGCCCAGATTTGATTTTTCTGTTACGCGATTTGATCTTTTCTTCATCGAATTAATGTTGAGTACTCTCAACTCGTCAATGTACAATGAAGTCCTTTTGTCGCTTGCCATTACTCTTAGTAAGCTCATCCAACCTTGCGGTGCCGATTACAGACTAGTGTTGATTCGATGCCCATTACAACCCACCTATGAGAATGGCGTTGTTTGCTCGCCAAGTCCCTCTCGGCAGAAACCTCCTGGGCCTTTGTTGTGCACAAATAAGCATCCTCTTGCTTAGTTTGGTCGATTACTAGGGCCTCTACGCAATACCGTGTCGCCACAAACAGGATTTGGGTCAAAGTCCCCCCTCCAAGCACGGCATTACCCCGTCTCGATCACGCCGTACGTCGATCCATTGGCTATAAGATCAATTTTGATATAGGTAGATTGAATCTGCAAGGAACAAATCCTTGCAAACGAGGACCAGCAGCCGCGAAAATAGCAAACGAAACAGCTCCTTCAGGATCAATCACATGGGATGCCGAGTACCCGACGCAATAAAGTGAAAGCGATGAGCATGCAAGTGCGCTCATCTCCAACCAATAATTCACGTCAAGAAAAGGGAGTTAACCTGAAATCCAAGCTAACCCCAACCAAACGCCCTTTTCTTGATAAGGTTGTCGGGCGGTGTGAATTTGCTTGCGGTGGCGGTAGGTGAGTGGAATTACTTTGGGTTGCGCAGAGTCAAAAGAAGAGACAAAATAATAACAAATAATGATAATTGCAATAATATTAATATTAATATTAATAAGTAGAGAGGTCTTGGTGGTCCCATCTCTCTCTCCCCTTGGAGTCTTCTTCTTTTGCTTTGGTGGATGGTGCCTCGTCTTTATCATTCAGAAAAAAGAGGACCAGCATGCTTTCCGCTTGTGTAGGCTTTTATCATTGACGGGCATCATTCACCACGCAGGGTATGGACAGAAGGGTACCATGCCTAGGCTTGTTATGGGAAGGTCCCGGCTGATGATGGATAGAACCAATCACGAGCGAAAATCTTCATGGTTTTTCGGGTTCTTTTTTTCCCTAAAGGTCGAGCTTGAGTCCAATGATTCAACACACGTCGTCGACTTATTCGGTGTTTTTGGAACACTCGTTGATAAGACTATATTCATTCATGCACCTGTAAATCCACACATAGAGAGAGAGAAGAGAGGACATCTCGAGCGTTTGAATGTCGTGCTCGAAAAGTTATTAGGTGCCCCGGTCAAGGCATCGCATCACCGCCCAGATCATTTTACTCTTCATCTTGCTTACAAACTCTTTTACTCTCCTCCAAAACTATATGTTAATATAAACTTAAGTGCATAATTATTTCTAGTATCACTCTCTCTCTCTCTCTCTCTCTCTCTCTCTCTCTCTCTCTCTCTCTCTCTCTCTCTCTCTCTCTCTCTCTCTCTCTCTCTCTCTCTCTCTCTCTCTTCTTCTTTTTTCAAGAAATTTTTTTTACCAGATCTTGTAACTCTCATTCACTTGTCCCCTTCTTGAGAAAGGGGTTGCCTGGTTTGGTTGGTAGTGGATTTAAAATATGGGGTAGCTTTCTCCTCCCAATACTGATCATAAATAAGAGATTGGGGTCCCCATTGCTTCTGAGGTTTTCCCAGAGGAGTGACATAATGACTGATAGACTTCAACCACCATGAGAGGTACCTTTACTTTAACTTTCTTTCTCTTTTCTTTCTCCTTTTCCTAGAAAATTTAGCCAAGAAACGCCGTGGGCCGGTAAAAAGCTGATTAGAAAGTGAGGTTAGCAAGAACTTTCGTCGTACCCATCTTTGTCACTAGTAGTTTGAGTGCTTGTAATAACTGAACTTGCTCTGTTAGAAGTTGTTTTTGTATAAAAGCCTTTGTTTACCTTAAAAAAAATCTCGACTCCAACGATCTACTTATAATATTTGGTAAAGATGACTTAGGCGCAGATTTCCATTGTGAAATCATTTTTTTAGTCGTTCTCTTTTTTTTTACAAAATTTTCATTTTAAACACATGCTGTTATTTCGCCGGAATATAATCGATGACAAAATACCTTTCACTGAATTCTTTTTTTGGGTTTTATTATGAGGAGACAGATTCTATGGCGCTTCCAGACAAAAGTCTTATCAATGGAGCACAAGAAGACAAGTAGATGTGCTTCAATGGAATTTAATCAACATCAAATTATACAAAACATTGTCGAAATTTAATTGATGATAAAGTCCGATGATATAAAGATACAACGTCAGAACTTGATTGACAATGAAATATCTAAAAACTACAAGTAGGATACAAGAATTGAAAGATAACAGGTTTTGTTTATTTGTTCTAGGGCTTTACAAATAGTACGATACGGTTATCTAAAGCCAACAAACAACAATGGGAGGTTATAATTGGAGGTAACAAACGCTTACTAAAAAAAAATAACTTCCTAGTTGTTAGGTTACATTATCCACAGTAAGTTACCCTACGATCTCCTATTATCTTAATACTTATCTACAACAATCCTAAAATAACGGCAAAATATACACCCGATGATTATCTTCGTGTCAACTGCTCATTGTCGATATCGATAACTCCGTCGATCAACTTCAAGGTTCTCATCGATAACTTCACGTTGTGTGTCCTTGATTTCATCACTGGCAAGTTGTCGATTCTCTTCAAGTCACAGATAATTCTGTTCATAAATGACTAAACTCTGCTCCCATTAACTAAGTCTATCACATGTCTATAATAACTAAAAGTTGGTCATTTTTTTTGTGTAAACAGCTAGGGCATCTTCTTTGTAAAAGTACTAGCAAATGTACACGTCTATCGCGTATATGTAAGAAATTCAATATTGCAAGAATAAGTATAAACCACTTTATTACGAAATATGTGATTCATTGATAAAAAAAAATGCACGATTAGAAGAAATTGTATGGATAGAAGTGAGATTGAAGTTTTTTAACGTAGGAATATTGTTGTAGGATAAAAAATATTCAAATTTCAATATAAAAGTGCATGAGAGATAAGATAGCATTGTCGACTTATGCACTTACCTATAGATATAATTTTTGTAAAATAAGTAAATGAGAATATTTGAGGAAAAAATTAATTGATATCCCTTAAAAGTACGAGGTTCTCTTCACAAATTATACCTAGACATATCTGGACGACTCTACTTGCGCGAACCGAGCCCAAGAAGGAAACAACTCAAGTAAAGAACTTGGTGGTGCGGTGTGCTCGTTTCCACTTGGAGCATGATGCTATGTTTGAACATTGGACGGTCTTGACCAGGGAGAAGAAGTATTCATATGAGTAGTGAGGTTATTTGCACCTTGAAATTCAAATGCTCGTGCTAAATACAATGGTTTTTCTTTTGGGATAAATACATTGGAAGTTCTAAAACTTGTTATGAAAGTGCAATTGAATCATAAACTTAGTAAAACTGTAATCAAGTTCTAAAATTTGTCAAATTGGTGCAATCAAGTTTTTCCGTTAATTCCATCCAATTTGATTAACAGAAGATGCTGACGAGGCTTTTTTTATTAGGATTAATACCACGAAAAATCTCAAACTGGTATACCTGTGACAATTTTACCCCAACCTAATTTTTTAACCACAAAAATCCCCAAACTAGTACGCATATGACAAATTTGCCCCGAACTATTTTTTTGACTACTTTTTTTACCATAAAAAATCTCACACTAATACACCTGTGACAATTTTCCCCCGAACTAATTTTTTGACCACCAAAAACCCAAAACTAGTACATATGTGACAATTTTACCCCGAATTAATTTTTTGACTACTAAAAATCCCAAACTGGTACATTTGTGACAAATTTACCCTCCGTTAGTGTCCGTTAAATTGGATTAATATCACGAAAAACCACAAATTGATAAACTCATGACAAACAGAGGAGTAAAACCCCAAACTGGTACACTCGTCAACTACCATGCGTCATTAAACTTAGCAATTTGACAGTAAAATTTAACGAAAATTAACGGAGAGTAAATTTATCACGGGTCTACCAGTTTGGGGTTTTGGTGATCAAAAAATTAATTCGGGGTAAAATTATCACAAGTGTACCAATGTGAGGTTTTTTGTGGTCAAAAAAATAGTTCGGGATAAAATTTATCACAAGTGTATCAGTTTGAGGTTTTTTGTGATCAAAAAAATAGCTTGGGGCAAATTTATCATAGGTGTACCAGTTTGGGGTTTTTCATGGTATTAACCATTTTTATTATTTTTTTCTCTCTTGCGTGGCACTGACATGACTAAAACAAGAAGAATGAGGCTAAAACGATGTCGTTTTGATTCAAATATGATTTTTTAAACAATTTTATTTAAATTAAATTTAAAAAAAAAGGAAAAGAAGTCAAAACACCCTCGCCACCTCCGCCCCACCATTTAGTCCTCCCCTAGTTTCCTTTTTTATTTTTTTAAAAATTAATTATTATTTAAATTAATTTAAATAAAATTTCTATTAAAAATTCGAATTTGGACCAAAACGACATCATTTTAACCACTTTAGCATTTTCCATTTGCCAAACTAGACGGAGTTAACTGATAGACTTAATTGTACTTTTTATAAGTTTTAGGATTCAATTGCATTGTCATAACAAGTTCTAGGACTCTCATCTCTCTCTCTCTCTCTCTCTCTCTCTCTCTCTCTCTCTCTCTCTCTCTCTCTCTCTCTCTTCTCTCTCTCTCTCTCTCTCTCTCTCTCAGACATTTGCTATACTTCTTTGTAAGACGTGAAGTCGAATCCCATACCTAAAACTAAACATCCCCACCCCCACCCAAATTCCTTACCACTGGACCGCGTGCTCAGTGAGTGTTAAACATCATGGTTGGCAAGCTAATTGTTACCACTAGGTTAAGGATTTGTTGTGGCCAAAAAAATTCACTTTTTCCTGATGGGCTCATATCCAATCTAGTAGCCCCATTAAGAACACGGCCCAAAAAAAAATGTCTCCGAGAGGAATATGCGATCATGAATGGCTTGACACACGCTAGGCTTGGGGGCCTATGCACACCTTACCCGGATCTTA